GAGGGGCTCCCTTCCGCCCCTTGTTCCAGGGCCCAAACAATCGCCCGGGTCGGAACCACCGCTTTCCGCTGTGGCTTGACCTGGGTGTCCACCAATGTCTCTTGGATGGCTTTTCGCTTTGCCAGGAGCTGTTTGTGTTCGTCAACGTTGAGCATGCCGAGTTTAATGGAGAGCCACTTTAAAGTGCCCCACCACTTCTGGAGCTTCGCCGGGGTGACCTCCAGCGTGACCGCCTGGTTCATGAGGTGCCGTACGTCCCCGGCCGTCCAGGGGAGGTTCTGGAAGCCGATCTTGCGCATGCCCTCATAGGCCAAGCAATGTGCTCGGATGGTCCGGAAACGGGCATCTCCGAAAAGGTGGCCAAACTCCTCCAGCTCCTTGACCCCCATCACCTGGTGCATGTAGGGGATCTGGTGGCGGAAGGGAATGAAGTAGCCCAGGAGGCGTTCCAGCCACCTGGCCCTCAAGTGCTGTTCCAACGCTCGTTGGGATGTCGGCAGTTGGGTTTTGATCTTCCCTGGTTTCCAATGCCGCCACTTGTTGGCCACTGCCAGGACATCCGGGGCCTCAATCGATCCGGAGAGGATCCACTCCTCACGGTCCCGGATGGCCTGTTCCAGTTCCAGTGGAGAATAGGTGTACGATTGTCTAGCGCCTGCCGCACGAAACAGAAGTTGCTGCAGGGTCTTAGTAGCGAGCTCCAAATCCGCCTCCTCCAGCGGTTGTGGTTGGGAGCCGAGTATCCTTGCGAGGATCAAGTTGTAGGTGTCCGAGGCCACCAGGACATGGTTATCGTCGGGTGCCATCCCCACGATTCGTGTCCACGGTCGCGGGTCGAAGACCACCGCATCCGGGTTGGCAACCTGGTCCTTTTTGACCCATTCCAGGCAGCACGCCACGAGGATTTCCCCGTCCGACTGCACTGGTGCAAATCCAAGGTCATGCAAAATCAACTGGACCGCGGTTGGGGCCCCTAGGAAGGTCGTTCCAAACGGGGAAGGGAGGCGGGGCCTCCACATCATCATGATCCACTCGAGCCCGGAGCCAAATCCCTAGGCGCCAACCCCAACCCAACAACAGGGGGGGGCCCCAAAACCCCGGAAAGCCAAACCCGAAAACGGGGGGGGGGACCCGGGGAGCCTCCACGGAAAGGGAAAAACCAAACGAGGGGGGGAGCCCAGGCGCACTCCGGACCAGCCCAAGCGCGCCCATTTTTCTCGCCTGGTACAGGTCAAGGCCTGTGCTGTGCCCGGGGGGGATATCAGCGCCATCGGCAGCTGTCCTCCCCCGGGGTGCCCTGCGAGTCCGTTCCGGATGGCCGCAGTGCTGCATGATCACACGGCCCCCTTGGCAATGTCGTCAATGCGCTTGAGCGCCGCCGCCTCCGGGTTCCGGAGAATCAGCTCCCAGATGGCATCTGAAACATGGCCGGTCTGGGTGACGTGGCTGAACCTAAACCGTGGGACTTTCTGGTCCACCACGGAGACATCCCGCAGCGGGGCAGACGGCTCTACCCGGCGGTAGAACTCCAGCCGTTCCTTGACCCAGCGGTTGTACAGTCCATCGGGCGGCTCGTCCAGCACCAGCTGAAGGATGGCCTTGCCGGCCCGGATCTGGAGGAGGCGAGTGCCCCCTCCCCCGGCGCGCCAGTACCCCTTGCAGTACTTGCACATATAGCCCCCCCGGGTCTCCCCCTTCGTCTTGGGGATGAGCTCCCATGGGGTGACTGAGCTCAGAACCAGGCCGCACTCCATGTGCGCCCAGAAGACGTGCTTCGTCTCTGCCGAGAAGTTCTTCTTCTTGTAATCCTTGCCCACCACGCCGTGGACGTTGTCCGATGTGATGGGGGGGTAGACGATCCCCTCATCGCCCTCTCCTCCCCTGGGGCGGATGTCAGGGCCATCGGCACCTGTCCGGCACCCGGGGGCGGAGGGGTCCAGGCCCATCAACTTGATCATGTCGTTGGTGTATCCGAGCTTGCGGTAGATGGAGGGGGCCACTGAGTCGGGGACTGCGCCGACCCACCACTGCTTCGTGTTGCAGCGCCAGTTGACTTTCACCTCCGCCAGGGCCCCCGGGCCTCCAATGCGGTCCATGAGGGCCTGGTACACCTCTGGGAACTGCTGGAGACTCTCCACCGGGACCGATATGCGCTCATCACATACCGCCCGGAGGATCATCTGTTCCTTGGAGTCCGCCACGTCCTGGACCGGGAGCTGCATTACCTCCGCCGGGGTGTCCGTGAGGAAGGCCCGGGCCGCAAGGACCTTGCCCATGGCCCGGTAGACCAGGCGCCACTCCGGTCCTGTCTGCGGAAACGGAAGGCCCTCCTCCTTCAGGAAGCACCGAGCATCTTCCTTCAGGGTCTCCCAGCCTTCCAGGCGGATCTGATTCTCCCCAGAGCTGGCGCAGAGTGAAGCTGTGACCAAACATCCCCAGCAAGCCTGGGAGTGTCCAGGACGAGATCTGGCGCGCCCAGTGGAAGTCCTCCTCCGGATCGTGGGGGGCCGCCCAGAAGATGGATCGCAGGTCCTCGGGGTATGGTCGGTCCCCCGCCTTGGCCTGCTGGTTCAGCTCCTCAACGGAGTACCTGGCCCATGGGAGTCCACCCGCCTGGTGGTTCCTGGGATGCGTACCCTTTTCCAGCGCCTCCGGATTCACCTTGGTGAGGTTGTTGGCCCAGTCCGGGACGTGTACGGGCCCCGGTCGTCGGACCCAGCGGCCCGCAAAGATGCGGACCTCTCCGACACGCTTGCTCATCATCCAGCGTAGGACCGCGAGCTGCACCTCCGGGTCCTGGGTGTCCAGGCCCCCCGGGGTGGCGGACGGCTTGTCAGGGCCCTCGGCACCTGAGCTCGTCGCACCAGAGCCCGAAGATGGGGGGATGGTGGGCTGCCTGTCAGGGCCCTCGGCACTGGGCGCGCCGCACCAGAGCCCCCCGCCTTTGGAATGGGGATCCCCGCCAGATCCGGCAGATCTGCCAGGAGTGCCGCTGGAAAGGGGTTCCTCCCCAGCGAGATGACCGCCTTGGCTTCGAGGTAAGAGTCCGTGAGGGACGTGAGGTCGTCCATGCTGAAATCCCTCCATGCCGTGGTCGGCTCAAAGACCCCTGTCTCAATGGCAACTCGGACCTCGCTAGGCCACGCACTGAATGGAGGCTTGATGGGCTCGAGCATTCTGGTCTCGAGGGCGCCCTTCGCTTGTCTGGCCTGGTGCTTTGCCTTCGCCTCTTCCGCAGTGGTCTGGGCCTGGAGGAGCTCCGGTGTGGGCCTCCCCCAGTCCGCGCCCAGCTTATCCAGCAGCTTCTCGCGGAAGAGGTCCAAGTCCAAATTCTTGAGGAGTTGGCCCCCATCGCCTCCTCCATCGATGGCCCCTCCTTGAAGCTCGTGGAGGACCGCCGCGGATCGCTCCACCGCTGCCACCTGGTCTGCCTTCTTGGCCTCTTCCTGGGCGATGGTGGTGGCGTTGAGCCGGGTCTGGATTTTGAAGGCCTTCACTGCCGACGGGTGGAAGGCCCTGCACTCCTGGCCCTCTTCCTTGTCGCCCGGCAACGGGGGCCTTTCCCCCATTGGGGCCGTCAGGAAATCCTCGTCCAGCTCCATGGGGCAGTTCCTGATCACCGCCCGGACCGAGGAGGGAACAAAATCCGAGAAGCTGGCCTGGTCCAGGTTCTCGCATGCCATCGGGTCGGTGGCCAGCTCGCTGACATCCACCGAGGCGCTGAGCTTGAGGTCGCGGGCCCGGTCCGTATCAGGGCCATCGGCACCTGCGGACCGGGCCGCCGTCCAGACCGCATTGCCCTGGTCATCCACTGTCAGCTGCCAGTGCGTGCCCGCCATTTCCAGGGTGGCCAAGTTGGACGCCGTGTCGATGGGCTCCGTCTTTTTGCCGCACCCCATACACTTCCTGGCGCCCTTCTTCACCCAGGGCATGGTGCAGCAGGGGCAGATCCAGGATGTGGGCTCCTTACCCAGGGGGCGGTTCTCCAGGCCCCCATACCCCAGGCCAGCGCGCTTGCCAACCTTCTGTCCCGGGGTGCTGAGCAGGGCCTCATGCTCATACTTCATCTTGGCGATGTAGAACGCCTCCACCACGCGCTCCAGGCCCCCCTGCTTGAGTTGGGGGCCCTCAAAGCCTCTCAGGAGCCGCTGGACATCCTTGGCCTGCAGTCGGCGGAGCCTGGCGGCCGTGGTCGCATCAAAACACGGGAAGTCGCCCGCCATCTGGTCCGCACTGAATTGGTAAAGGCCCTCAGAGACTTTGAGGGCCTTGGTGAAGACGCTTCCCCCTGGCGGGGGGGCTGCGGGGTCCTCATCCCCCTCCGAGGACACCTGCGCCCTGGCCTTTTCCATCAGGTCCTGGCGTCCCTGCCACTTGGTGTCGGACATCGGGGGGTCCACCTCATCTTCCGCCAGGGGTTCCTCCATCGGGGGCTCCTCCTCGTCTTCCGCCAGGAGTTCCTCCATGGGAACATCCGGCTCTGGAGGGTCGAGAAGCTCCAGGAACGCCCCTGGGGGGCGTGTCAGGGCCTTCGGCACCTGCGCCACCCCAGGGGGGGAGTCCGCCATCAGCCCGCCCTCGGCCTTACGCTTGGCTGGGATGAGTGGGGCTTGCTCCAGCTCGTCGGCGCTGGAGAAGAACCGTTCGTCCGGTGCCTGAGGGACCTCAGCCGCCAGGACGGTCCAACCTTCTTCCTCCTTTTTCACAAGGCTTGCCAGGTACTTCGCCATGGATGCCTTTGCCTTCGCCTTAGCCTCTGCAACCGCGGCACCGGCATAGGCGGGGGTGTACATGGCTTTGATAGGAGGGGAATGAGAAATTTCAGATTCCAAGACAGAAGGGAAGTGCCCACTTGAGCCAAAATGGTGGCCCAAGTGGACACTTACAAAGAGTCAAGACAAGCGACCACCTACGGTTAACACTTTAGCCCAAGAAGAGAAATAACTCGGGCCCCCTGTCCTACACCCCCCCGGTCGGCGGTCAGCGTTCAACCAACTCTCCTCGAAGGTGCGGGCCAAACGAGCGTTCTCCTCCTGACTCAAGACGACGGCCCAGTCCGCACCCGACCGGTGCTTTGATGGGAAGGGATGCGGAATCGCGAGAAGAGAAGTCTGTGCTGTTCAACAAGGTCTGAATTGAATTGAACTGAAGTGGTGGCTAAAAATCTCCTTACAACCCTTTACAGTAGCTTTAGGCAATTTGCTCAATGGCATGGTAACATTGACCTCTCCCGAATCAAGATTTCAAGGAAGGCCGCGTAGTGTCGTGCTATCTTTGCCTTCCCCGAGCCAGGGCTCAAACCAGGTTGGTACATTTGGCTGTGGCTCAATAACATGTACCCAAATGGCACCTGGGTAAATGGAAACAAAGATCAAAACCTGCGTAACCCTAGCTCTTTAATTTTGAGCCTCACGTTTTTGTTTTGCAGGGCATGTTAAGATACCCGCACTTGGATGTACCCAGGGTCATGAAAACGGCATTCTGTCCGCCAACCCTGTGCCATTGATGGTTGAAGCTGTGGAAATGCAGGGAAGCTTGCGGAATTTGGAGACCTTAGGAAATTGTAGCAAGAGGAAACCTTCAGCAACAGGGTTGTGGAATTTGACCACTTCTGTGATACAACAAAAAGGGCTTCCCAAAGACTCACCCCCATAAGGGGGAGATTCCAACTTTGCTTGGATAAACAAATCCGAGTGATCAACCACAACCTTGTTCAGCAACCTGAGCAAAAGAAACTTCGCCTCACTTCCTGAGAGGCCAAAACTCCGAGTTCCGGAGCTCCATTCTGCAAGCTTTACTATTCCAGGTCCTCCAGATTTGAGAGGTTAGAATAAGGCTACCAACTTTTTGTTCCGTAGTCCATTTTCGTAGGGGAACCCTCCCAACAAGAAACGGTGAGAAAGGGCACCTGGCTGGGGGGCCTGGCATAGTTCCAACAGATGAATCAAGGGATCCCCGAGTTCCATGACCTTTCTCCTGGCTTCCGCTCCTTATACCTTTGGTGCATCTTGATCACTTTTAGCAGAGCAGAAAGCAACCGAGTTGTGTCTTCTCGGGAACTCATCTCCTGAGTTCCCGTTTCGGACTTTACAGTCAATTGGGTTTGGTTGCCAGTTTAGTGCTCGCCCCTGGCCCATCCGCTCGATCGGAAGCGGGGGCAAAGATGCGGCCCGACTCCCCGAAGCGATCGATGGCTCGGCGACCGCTCGCGCCTGGGCCTCGCGCAGCCTGCGCTCCAGCGCCGCCAGCCGCGGCTCCGGCGAAGGCCTCGGGGCGAAAGGCGCTGGAGGCGGGGGGCGCCGGAGGCGCCGGGGCCCAGGGGTGGGCCAGAGAGCAACGCTGTGAAACGGTGTTAGGAAATACATATGCAACGGTGTTAAACGGTTCTATGGACCGTTATGGTAATGTTTTATGGATGGATTACCGTTATGGTAATGTTTGATGGATGGATTCTACATTTACCAGAGAAAATGAGCAGGGAAAGCGGCATTTGAGATGCACATGCTTCCTTTTGACACATCTAGCAGGTTGGGCCTGGCGTCCCATGGTGCCACCTCCGGCCTTTTGCGCCCTCCTTCTGGTGTATGTCCGCCGACATTGCTCGGCGATCAAAAGGGCGGGTTAGGGGAATGTAGGAGAGTGGTAAGGGTAGGGTTGACTTCTGTTGGTAACATTGTTGTAGCGATGACTGTTGGCAACTGCTTTTCTTGTGGTGACTTGTGTGAGTGGGAAATGTTGTTTCTCTTGGTGTGCGAGGCGAGAGGGTTTTGTGTCGGTTTGCATCTTGCTTACAACTTGTGCGATTCGGAATTGGTTCATGGGCAAATCTTGAGAAGAACACTCCAGAAATAAGCAAGAACAAAACAACAAAAAGCTAAGAACACTTGCTCTTTTGGTCAAACAGCAAGCTGTTCTAGCAACAAAAAAAAGAACAAAAAAACACATGCAAAACAAAAAAAAAACTCAGGCCTGTCACAAGGTGGGCGAACATAGGGGTCAACCCGGGAACATCTCCGGGCTCCCCCGCTCCTCTACCTTGATCTGCTGCTCGAGGTGCTGAATCCGTAATTCCAGGGGCCTGCGATGGATGTGGAAATTTCAATGGGGAACACGATGATGTGAACATAACTTGTTTTTGCATTTCGGGTTTTTTTTGAACACAACTTGTTCTGATCTAGGTAGATTGGGCGTCGTTGGTGATTTGAACATGATCGCCCGTGTTGATTGAGCTTTCCTTGGAACGTTGTGATGTTTCTAGCTATGTTTCTCAATTGGACAAATTAGCTCGGTCCTTGCTGAGTGAGTATGCTTTTTGCGCGGAGTGATGGTTTCTGGACGACCCAAATCCAACAGGATACCGCCTGTAAATGATGTCCACCGCAGGGTCACCCATGAACCGATACCCGTCCAAAGAAGAAACCTCTCCTGGTCCCAGTCAATCAGAACAGAAGAAAGTGTTCATTGAGGGGCATCAAGCCAATCACATGGCCACAGAAACTACATGAGATGTGCAAGAAAGAACAGGAATCCTGAAATGTCCCCTTTAAACATCACCCTGAAGAAAGAGCGAAAGACCTTCGATGTGAGGCACCGAACAGCAAAAACCTCGCGCTCGCAAACCAGACTTCTGGCCCGTTTTTTTTGGTGAACCGGTAGTGCTCCTCCGGTGTTTTTTTGCTTTCGAAGAAAAGCCAAACCCACTTGACTTAGTCTCAGAATTCGAAAACAAAACACCCCCTGCCGTCCACCGGCCAAAAAAATAAGAAAGGAGTACCGTCCGACCAACGCCTCGTCTTTTGGCGCCGACCCGCTTCGTGGACCCAAGAAAACCGACGGGTTGAAAGGAGCCAGCCCCAGATGCCATGGTGAAATCTAGCCGGGAACTGTTTCAAAACGGAAACCAAAAGGGAAGAACCTGAAAGACGGGCCATTCACGTACGAGAGAGACCGGTGCCTACGCAGGCCATCGGCGACATGCTCTAGGCGCACCTGCTCGCTTCTAGAGCCTGGCTGCAAATCCCATGGGCTGGTGTCTTTTTTTTGGGATTTGGACCCCCAAAATGGGGTGGGCGTCCTCTTGGTTTTCGGTTGAAACCACCAAAAACGGGGACCCCGAAAAAAAGGAAAAAACAAGTCTGGTCTAATCAAATTACAAAACCACGGTTGGTAATCTGATCTATTACCCTTCTTGACAAACCAGTTGTTTGGAAAAAGGACACCCCAAGTAAGGAACCTTTGTCATGTGTGACAGGAGAGCTCGGTAAAATTTGCTCAGATTGATGCCTGGTTCTACCAAGCTGGTTTGAAAAAATGCATATAACCCGCACCAAAAAAATGAAGCCTGCTGAATCATGAGGGCAAACAGAAGACAGTGAAGCCATCTTGCAAGCAGCATGTTCGCTTCGTCTTTTAATATTACCCAAGAGGGCTCAACATTGTTTGGACACCTGTTTGAAGAAATGTGACTAATCACAAGGAAGGAAGCCGCACCTGTTTGTCATTGTGACTGGAACAATTCCCCCATTTGGTTCATTCATCCCCTTTACTTGCCAGCATGCTCCAGAAATTGACATTTACTTTCACGGGTGGATCTACCCTTAAAGCAAATGCACGCAAACCGAGAGATGGATGGATCGTGTCCTGAAATGACTCAAGCCGATGCCATGGATCTGGGGCTAAGGAAACTGGAGTCCTTCAAAGTTGATCAATGAGGTGGCAATAACTCACCGCTTTGAAAAGATTAACTTGGAGACAGGAGACTCTTGATGTGTCTGGAGGGCTGTATTTATGCAGATTTCTAACAACTCCAAAAAATGACCACGTTCCCGTATTTGTGCCGCAAAACATGACAACTCCAAAAGTCCACGCTACAAGTCCAGACCACCCCAGCCCCCAAACATCCCCCACAAACCATTCTCTCCCCCCAAACCATGCCCACTTCTCCCCAAAAAACCACCTGCCCTCATCCCAGGTTTGGTTTCTTCTCCCCGGCAGGCCACCTTTCCGCCCATGCGCGCCGGCGAAATCGGCGCACCGGCGGAATCGTCACGCCTGCGGTCTCGAGCTGTCGCTCCACGACGCCGAGGCGCCGCTCCAGCAGCGAGGCGCCCTCCGAGAGCTGACGGAGCTTGTGGCCTCGCGCTCGACGCGAGCGGCACGCGCGAGCGAGCGGCGGGAGGGAGCGAGCCGTGCGGCGTTTCGGGTTAGCCCCCCCAAAAGCGGGGGGAGTCCTAATTTGAGGCTGGCGTATTGGTGGTTTTGGTGGGTTGGCGGTTTGTTTGGTGGTTGCAGACCCACGTTACCCCAAATCAGCTTAGCCTTCAGGTTGGGATGCTGAAGAAAGCTTCCCCTCAAGTTCTTAAAAACCTGGTTGCAAGTCCCTCGTTCGCATATCAAGAAGGACCCCACAATAGATGACATAAGAAATGAGGCACTAACCACTAGCTACAGTATGGAGTTTCACTCAGATCCGCCATGGCATGTTTCAGCTTCAAGCGGAGATGTCTTACTGCCAGCGCACGCTCAACAAACTTGGTAAGGATCCACCGATCGTAGTGATACTGGAAAAGTTCGAACGCGCTGTATTGCACAGCAGCATTTCCGAAGAAAGTACGCCTTTGGCGATTGCATGCGGCTGTCGGCAGCTGACCATCTGGAGTCACAGAAGGCTCGGCTGGGGCACAGATCTGGCCAGAGCGCACATTCCAGATATAGCTTCAGCAAGACTGTGAATGGCAGGATACAAGTGTTGTCTTCGGCGTGTGGCAGCCAAGCATCGTGTCGCTGGATGTACTCCTTGTACGCAGACGCCTCGCTGGCGAGCAAGTACGTGTAGGCCGAGCGCGCGTGGGCGGCGCAACTGCAGCGACGCTGCCTCTGACAGAGGCTGGTTTCCACGAAATGCGCGAAAAAGGCAGTCCTGGTGGTTGCCACAGACGTCTGTTTTGCAGGAAACCTGAGCAGACTGCGCGTGACTCACAAGTACGCGGCTCGCGGGCAAGGGTGAAGCCCCTAGGAGTGTCTGTGGATAAGTCTTTTGAAGGGTTTCTACATTGCATTGGCGCAAACACGCTCTTCAAGATTACATCGAGGCTCTTTCTCCTCATTCAGGCATCACTGCTCTTTCTTCTTTGCCTGCTTTGCCTTTTTGCCCTCCTTCTCCGGCGCGTCTTTGCAGGCGTGTCATCGAGTTCGTCGGCCGCAACTGCGGGCGATTCAATGTTGATGGAGGCCTGTTTCTGCTTGCGCGCCTTCGGCGCTGTGTCTCTAGCGCTGCCTGGCTCGACTGGCTCCGCCGGCCTCTGCGTCGGAAAACTCCCCGAACACCGGCGCTTGCTGTGGCGCCGGGGCCAGGCAAGCAGAAAGCCATTTTGCCAAGCCCGCTATACTGGGGGCTTGCTACTTGCTGCGACGTGCAGCGGCAGCTTTCTCCAAGGCGCATGAGTGCCATGACCAGGGACCGCCACCGCGCCGATTTCGGCACGCGCGCCAGCCAGGTCAGGACTCCGTCGCGGCTGCCTCGATCTTGGCTCGCGAGGTGCTGCGGCCGCTAGCCCCATCCAGGACCTCGAGAGCCTGCTCGTCGATCTGCGCAAGCAGTCCGCTAGAAGCTTGCGCGTGTGACCAAGAGGGCGTGCGCAAACTCTTGGATGCCAAACTTTGGGCGGTTCCGGGATTCCGTGTTGGTAGCATCGAACCCGCCTACAAACTGTTCGAAGCTCATAGTCTCCACTTTGTTTTTTGTCAGGTCGCCCTTCTTCGTCACATACATTCGGCTCTTGCTGGTCAATTGGTGCATTTCTACCAACTTCTTAGCGTCTTCTCGAGCCAAATGCTGTCGGGACCTGGCGGAGCGTCACACATCCAAGCCAGGCAGGCCGTCTATGGTTTTGAATTTCTTAGCGCCGGGCGACGCAAGCCGCCCAGGGAGCAAAGCCTGCCGATCGGCAGACTCCGCGCATGTCTGTCTGCATGGCTTTTTGCGTCGCAAAAAAAAATAGACGGATTTATTGAGGACTGGTGGGGCTGCGAAGGGGCAGGCTCGGCCGAAACTTCAAGGCGGCCAGCGCGTGGGGAAGACACGCGCCTGGCGAGGAAACGGAGGCCATGGGATGATACTTGCAGAACCAAGCTGTGCAGCCTAGGAGATTGGCCTGGATGCAGTCTCAGGCTCTGAAAAGAAGCTGGATTTCAAAAAAACGGTGGGTTGGCGCAAGCCCCCAGGGTCAGGCCAGGCCCAGGCTCACACATCTTCCGCGCGGACGATGACCCTCACGACGCAGGAGCAGCCAAGTTTGGGAGTGTCCCTGGGGCGGCGGCGACCATTGACTGCGGTCGCCGGCATCCAAGCCTCATCGACGAAAATCAGAGGCATCGTCTTCTCAGCACTTCCGTCACTCGGCAACGAGGCCATTGAGCAAAACCGATCAAACCTGTCTAGCCACAAGGCAATCAGATACACCATGCGCGGGTTCACGTCAGCAACCCTGTGCAATGCCATGTGTCCTGGCAAGCAAAAACAAGCGAAGTGTTCGCAGTTTGTATTCGTACTGAAAATCAAAATCAGGCAAGCTTTACCCCTTGGTCCACATGAGACTTCTGTTCTCATTGAGTTACCTTAGGACACCTGATGCACATTTAATGGCTATGTCTGCCGCGCAAATCAGTTGACCTTGAATCAAAAACTCGAACGATGCGAGCTTCAGTCTCACGGAAGAAGTAAAATAAGTAGTGGCATTTCAAAATCACTGGAGCTCCCACTTATGCTACACCTCCTAAGTCATTTCACAAAGTCGGACTGGAGTTAAGCTCAACAGGGTCTTCTTTCCCCGCTGATTAGCCCAAGCCCGTTCCCTTGGCTGAATTTCGCTAGATGGTAGGTAGGGACACTGGGAATCTCGTTAAGTCATTCATGCGCGGCACTAGTTAGATGACGATGCATTTGGCTACTGAGAGTCATAGCTACTCCCGCTTGTTTCAATTGATTAGTCGGCTAGCGGAAAGCGTCCCGGCAGTGACCTTCATTGTGCTAGCTCCTTTGTCCGTGTTTCAAGACCCGTGAAGGAGAAGCATTTCATCAGCACACCTGAATTTTCAGAGGCGAACCAAGCTCCGCAGAAGAGCCGCAGAAGAAGATACGAGCGTTGCAGCTGACGAGCAAGCTGAGAAACACCGCAAGCATTCATTCACGCATGTGCGAGAAGCTCATGAAAACTCAGAGTCTCAGCCAGGGTCTTGGTTCTATTCGCTTCCCCTTCCGTGATTTCAAGCACTTTTAACTCTCTTTCCAAAGTCCTTTCATCTTTCCCTCATGGTACTATCGGTCTCGAGCTTATATGTCGCTGATGGGTTTGGGCTATGGGTTGTGCGTTGTTTTCGGGGCAATCAGGTTTTAATCAAAGCCCTCAGGAGACTTCGTTGCCGTAACCTGGCAAAATTCAATGTGTCGTGACCGAGCCCGGCAGGGCCCCGTGTCTAAAACCATTTAAAGAAAGATTGTGTTTCATAGTAAGATTGTTTTGAAAAAAAAATGGTTCGGATGTGGACGTGGATGGAAATGTTTTTACAGGAAATGTCAAAACTTGTCAGAGGTGCCGTGAATTACAAAGAAGAAATCAGAAGCCAGACAATTAACGAGAGATGCGGTTAAGCAGATGAAGGAATTGGAAGAAGGCAAGAAACAATATTGCTCACACTGTAATGTTCATAGAAAGGAAGAGTTGTTTTCGAAAAACAACAAGCATAAAGAACAAATGACAACATACTCACAGACATACCCAAGTATGCACGAGAAAGACACAAATGAAGGAAGCAAAGTAAGCTATGTTTGTTTAAATTGAGTGACTTGAATCAGTGTTTGAATGATTGTATGGATTTGACAAGCGGGTTGATACATGCAGTGTTGCGGTCTGGCTTTTTATCGGGAAGGTTGCTTGGGTGCTACTTTTGGCTCTGGGGTTCTCGAAAAGACACACCTTGCTTTGCGGCAGTGGGGATGTTCATGGGATGGGATGGGCCTGGGACCTGTCCCTTCCAGTGGATGGCTCTAATTCAAAGGGCTCACGCCAAGCTTGTTTACCCAACATAGGTTGGACTTTCCTTTGCAAGAAGGGTAGTCTGTTGGGGTCTGCTTCTCCATCGAACCAGATCTGGTTAGGCCCAAAACCTGCGCTCAGCCCACGATTGAATTCGTCTTGGCCAAAACGTTGCTTTTTGCTCCAACCAGTCTGCCTGAACCGCACGGATTCCTCGAAGCACCAAGTCCGGATGAGCCGAAAGCAGTATGCACGCTCCACTCACCCAAATAGTTGATCAGACACGAGAGCTTCCGAATAGGTTGGGCGTCAGGTGTCAGCCTGTGATATTCATGCAAGCTTCCCCCAACGCAATGTGCTTGAGAAAGCGCGGGCCGTCAAGAAATATTTGCCTTCAAAACTGACACCATTTGCATTGGGCACCATCCAGTCTGCATGAACACCTTCCAAACTCTTACGCTATGCAAACATCAAAGTGAAGGCTCCACTCTTCACCTTCCAAAGGCTCCTTTGCAAACAAACATCAAAGTGAAAACGCCTGCGTGGGAACCCCCTGCTCATTCCAAAGCCACGAATCTGGGCTCAGGGTCCCCGGCTGCTCTCAGGCGCACGCTCGTGTAGCTGCCTGGGCCAGAAAAACAAGACCGACAGAGCAGTGGGAGCCCCATCTTGAACCCGAAGCGAAGACCGCAAGCTTCACTCGGCATCTTCACTTGCAAGTTAGCCAAGCCAGGTGGGGATATGGCCATGGGTCCAAATCCAAATCGTACCCCCTGTGAACATCCCAATCCCCACTAAAATAGGTTCTAAAATGAGAACTCACCTACCAACCAAAATGGGATCCCAAAACAGTTTTGACAACCACAGCCATATGTGGCGTCCACCACAAGGGGCGATGGAGGGGCACTTGCAGATCCTTAACGCCTGGGTTTGAGGCGGGTCAGCCAATCTCTGACTACCAAGGCTGTAAAACTAGCTTGTTGGTGCTTTCAAGGCTCCCAAAGACGGCTGAACCCTTCTTGGCTGGTTTCCCCCGAGAAGCCAAAAAATAAAAGAATCAAAAGGCGTTGCACCCCTATAAAAATGTGGGTCCCAGCTGCAGACACCTCACATCTCTCTCGGATTTCTGGCAGGGCTCTCCATGAGAGTCGCAATCAAAACCGATCGGTACTAAAATGGTCGTACTCCCAGAACCATGCTTCAAGAACTAAGAAGGCGAATATCCGCCGCTATTTCTCGCAAGGGGATCGTCCCTTACATTTCCTTCATCTTCGAATGGGTTTTGAGCACGTGGCTCATGAGAAACCAAAGGCATCGCCCCGTGCCTCTCCAGCGTGGCCAACCGATCCAAGAAGCCTGGCCGATGACTTGTGTTCGAGGCTTGGACACGTTTCAGCTCGCGGGAGAAAGGTTTGGTATCTGAGTGGTGCTTTTAAAGCACCCGAAAAGAAAGGGTGACGAATCTTCTTGACGACGCCATTACCCAAAAAGAGTCCGGAGGTTTGCTCATGGAATTTCACTGGTATTGGGGAGTGGGGGAGTTGGGGGGCAGTATCTGGTATCGCAGAATTAGAACAACCATATACCCTCTCAACGTTGAAACCACAAGGGTCCAAGACAATCTTCCTCAGGGAAAGTCTTGCCAGTCTCGGAACCTCCCCAAAACTCCCCGCAAATTCCCGGGCACGACCCTCCGGGTCTTGAACCAAAGACGAAGCACCCCCATGCCATCCGGGAAAGGCGCCTACACAGGGGTCACAAGTTACAGTACTGGTGAGTTCCACTAAAACAAAAGCCGCTTTTGGAGGTTCAACTGCACGCTGCATGGACAGAAAAGATGCGACCAATGCAATTCTCGTTCTTATGCTCAGGCAAGCTGCGTTCGATGCTTGGAGTGGCTGCTACTTGGCTAGCTTCCTCCACTTCGGGACTCATATTGTCTTGGGAGTGGACTTGATAGCACCGAGATTGCTTCAAAAAGGTACCAACCACATGTCTGTGCACGATTTCCGCCTGAGAAGTTATCACTGGTCATCTTCAGAAGCTGGTCGCTCCTGAAAGCCGGAACAGATGCCCAGAGACTGGCCCAGCCGGCACTCTCGGGGTGTCGCTTGGGTTTCTATTTGAAACCACCCCCGAAGTTCTCTGCCCAAGCCATAAGTTCTCAGTCGACAACAAACGAAGGATGCAACCTATCGCACCAGTCAGCTGCCCTGAGAGAAGTGTGAGATACCCTGCAAGGGAACAAGAATGATTTGACAGGCTTGCCCATAAAGAAGCAAGAAATTGGTCTCAAAGTGATCAAAAGACCATAAACCGATCAAAAGACCGCAAAGTAATCAAACCCTATCTTGCTGCCCATCGCTGTGTCTTGTTCCCCAAAAAGCAAAAAAACAAACTTTCGGATTTGTTTCACCGTCCAAACAAAGACACAAAGACACGTTTCCGCGGCCTGTTCTCTCCGGGCTTAGCTCCAAGGCATTTCTTGGGAGGCCCAAAAGAATTCCCCAAGGCGCCGGCTGCTGGCCCACCATCTTCCGCATCTCGTCCCGGAGGCTGGTAAGAGACGAGCTGCACCTAAGAATCGGCGAGGGAGCAAACGTCCAGTTCGCTTTACGGCCATACTGTGGATGATTGCGTGGTTTTTCATCCCAACTGGTGGGTTTTGTCCATCAGCCAACCAGTTCTGCTAAATGTCAACCCAGGAGAAATACTGTAAATTCCGCGAAATCCGTGCGCAGCACGAAATGAAACAAGAAAGAAACCACTGTTGCTGATGTATTTACAGGGGAGATCATTGGGGTTTCTTAGGTGGTGCATGGCTGTGAGTGGAAATTGGTACAAAATAGGTACCCAAAACGGAGCCCTGGTGAATGGAATCAAGGGCGAAAACCTGCGTGGTGGACTACTGTTGATCATGCACATATGGGGGCTGGTTGTTGTTTTTTTTAGCAAGCAGGGCTCTCTGAGGGTACACAGCCTTCCTAGTGAGTATCAATTGTGAAACCCTTTGGATGCATGTTGCTCCACATCTATCAATTCCGCGGGATTCAATCACATCAAAAGTTGAAAGGGAATATCAAACATGGGAACACTTTTTGATTGTGACTGAGAGGCATCAAAAAGACACGGGGCCGCTTTATCTGAAGCAAGGTCTCAGTAGGGAATGGCAGAAATCCAGGGGTCCCCTTCAAGGAAACCACCAGTTGCACGGTTTATAGGCGTCATTCCATTTCTCATTCCCTGATCGCACCAGGTTTTGGGTGTCCTTCTGAGTTGGTACCCCTTTGTGGGTGGGTTTTTAAAGGAAACACCAACCGCAACACCAGCGTTCCGGGGGCAGAGGGGGGAGGAGGGTGGGCTCCATCGCTGAGCCCAGAACTCCCCGAGCTCGCCCCTCAACTGCTCCACTCGGCGCTCGCAGGTGGCCTGCCGGGAGGAAAATACACAAGGGTCAGAAAATGCGTGTGTGTGTGTATGTGTATATATATATATATGTGTGTGTGTGTGTGCATGTGTCTGTGTGTGTGTATGTGCGTGTCTGGGTGTGTGTATATTATGTATGTGTGTATGTGTGTGTATGTGTGTATGTGCGTGTGTGTTTATATAAATATATATATATATATACATATATGTGTGTTTGTGCGTGTATGTGTGTATGTGTGTGTATGTGCGTGTGTATATATGTGTATTTGTGTGTGTGTATGTGTGTATATGTGTGTATGTGTGTGTATGTGCGTGTATATGTGTGTATGTGTGTGTGTGTGCATATGTGTGTCTGTGTGTGTATGCGTGTATGCGTGTGTGTATGTGTGTATATGTGTGTTTGTGTCTGTGTGCATATGTGTGTATGTGTGTGTATGTGTGTGTATGTGTGTATGTGTATATGTGTGTATGTGTGTGTATGAGTGTGTATGTGTGTCTATATGTGCGTGTATGTGTGTCTGTATGTGTGCATGTGCCTGTGTGTATATATGTGTAGGTGCCTGTGTATGTGTGTATATGTGTGTACATGTGTGGATGTGTGTGTGTATATGTGTCTGTGTGTGTATGAGTGTGTGTGTGTATGCGTGTGTGTGTGTGTGTGTACGTGTATATGTGTGTATGTGTCTGTATGTGTGCGTATGTGTGTGCATATGTGTGTGTGTATATGCGTGTATGTGTGTATATGTGTGTGTATGTGTGTGTCTATATGTGTGTATGTGTGTGTCTATATGTGTGTATGTGCCTGTTTGTACAAATGTGTATGTGCCTGTGTATGTGTGTATGTGTGTATATGTGCCTGTGTGTGTATATGTGTCTGTGTGTGTATTGTGTATGGATGTGTGTGTGTGTATGTGTGTGTATATGTGTGTATGTGTGTATGTGTGTATATGTGTATATGTGTGTATGTGGTGTGTGTATATGTGTGTATATGTGTGTATATGTGTTTGCGTGTATATGTGTGTATGTGTGTGTATGTGTGTATGTGTGTCTGTATGTGTGAGTACTTGTGTGTGTATGTGTGTGCATGTGTTTAAGTGGGTATGTGTCTGTGTGTGTATGTGTGTATGTGCGTGTGTATGTGTTTGTGCCTGTGAGTGCATATGTGTGTATGTGTGTGAAAATGTTTGTATGTGTGTGTGTGTGTATGTGTGTGTATTTGTCCGTATGTGTTTGAAAATGAGTGTAGGTGTGTGTAGGTGTGTGTTTCTGTGTGTCTGTATGTGTGTGTGTGTGTGTATGTGTGTGTGTGTGTTTGTGTGCGTGCGGGCACGCCGGCGGGCGGGCGGGCGGGCGGGCGGGCGGGCGGGTGGGCGGGTGGGTGGGTGGTGGGTGGGTGGGTGGGTGGGTGGGTGGGTGGGTGGGTGGGTGGGTGGGGGGGGGGACCCAAACGGCAAACAAGGGTCAGAACACCTTTTCCTTTTGTGTTTTGGTTTAGCAGAATTAGGGTGCCCTCGAAAGGCTGAGTTTAATGTTGGCTTGGCTTTGGCTCGCTGTTGGCTTTGACCCGGCGTTCTTTGCAAAACCATCACGCCTTGGAAGTAGAGGAAAAGCGGTTTCCTTGATTTCTGTTGGAAACCGTCCCTGACTACTGCCCAGGTACGGCTCCCGTTGGTGATTCTCTGGACATGATGTACCCCCACGTTCTCCTCCCTGTCATCCACTGCCAAAGGCGTCTCGAACCCTGCCTCGCAGAAAGCTTCTCAGCACCCCTTCCAATCAGCTTCCCTCGAAGAGGGTGGTTTGGAGCCGAATCGGTGGTTTGGTGGCTAAGGATAGTTTCCCATTTACTCTCTACAAGAACCAGGGGGTTGAAATCTAATCCAAACCACCGCAAAATATCGCATGTGCACAGGTGAAATTTCATGAGAAACCAAACCATTTTTTGAGGGTGTTCCAACCATGGGAATTCATCGCCATGTCACTTAGGGAATACCTGATCCACAAAGGTTCCGCAACTGACTCGGAGACCTTCGGAAACTTCAGGAAACCATGCCAGAACCGAACATTGCATTGGTAAGACTCCATCAACTTTCCCGATCACTGGATTCCCCCTTCAAATGTGGATCAACATGCTGGTTCCATGGAGATCCGCGAGCAAAGTCATTCCAACAAAAGTCTTGCATTCCGAAATCCCTATAGAAACTTGGCACCAGGGCTTCTGAAAAGACAAGGGGTCAAGGTTCTGGCAACGCCTTGTTTCGTCGGATGGCCAAAGGGCAACTTTTCGATGACCCATGGTTTCTCTCTGCCCTCGTTGGATCTCATCTGTCAGAAATGGGGCCCGCCGGCTCACCCGAGCCTAAGGCTTTGGATGTGTGTGTGTGTGTGTGTTTCTTTAGGGAGCCCGTTTCAGGGCAAAGACAAAAACTAAGTGCCCATCCAGTTTTTGGCAGCCCCCCCAAAAAAAAACGGCTCAACAAAAAAGAAAAGAGACCGGTCTCCCACAAAAAGAATCGGCTCCTTAGCATGAGCTCAAAGCCCGCGGGGTGTTTTTGGGTTCCGAGCCCCCCATCCGATCGCAGATCCCATCCTGGCGTTGCTCCGAGAGCTCCAGCGCCAGGCCTCAACGGATCGATCCGAGCTCCGAGCTCCGAGCTCCGAGTTGCACGAGGCTCCGAGGCTCCGATGCATCCGCGTGGGGGCCGGGGGCGTTTTTTTGTTTTTGTCTTGTTGTTGTTTCTTTTCTTGATTCCTTGTTTTTTCTCGGAGCATATGATGTTGGGGGGGCCCCAAGAAAAGATAAGAATTTGTGGTTTTCCTGGTTGACTTCCCCCCCAGCAAGTTGGGGCTTCCGACTCCAAAAATGACACAACCCTTCGCATAGGTGTCCTTTTGGGGCAAATAGATGGATTTCCCTGGTAGATGATGAAACCCACCGAGTAAACCAGGGAATCCCATCGTTTTTTCGAGCAAAACCACCAAAAACGACGCCTATGCTCCGGAGATTTGGGCGCCAGAAGGTTTGGGAGGCAGAAAACTGGGCTGCTCCCAGATCGCCTGCAAAAAAGTTATAAAATATGGTTCCTGGTTTCGTGGAAATTTACCTTGAAACCCTAAAAGCCATAAACCCGAAAGCCGGGTTTGCTGGAGTTCCCACCAAGAAAAGGAGGAGTCTTCAAAGAGTTCCGAAACTTGATAAAGTCAGGATGTGCAAAAGAAAAGGAAACCAGTGGGAAACCACCTATTTGAAAGAAATGGGCCTGTCCTCCAAACTTTGGAAAGCCCCCATGTTCAGCGCTGCCGTTAAAACAAAACAAAAAAACTAGGGTTCAACCGATTCCTTGAAAGAGAGACGCAACCCAATTTAGATGATCACAAACCCGAAGGCTTAAAAAGAAATGGCGGCAACAGTCTGCTGATTTTTGAGGACTTTTCAGTCAGGATGTGCAGATTTTGAAACCACTGGGAAACCACAAACACATGAACCCCCCATAATTGTCATGGCCTGCCTCAACCCCACGGCACAAGCCCGCACCCGGACCCTCACAAGCTGAGTCTCCGGGCTTTCGGGCTGCGCTAAGCGGTCCAGCTTCGAGGACAGGCCCTGCAGCTGCTCCTAACTTCCGCCCGGCGGCTTGGATGCGGCTTTGCGGAGTCCCAGTCGGAGTCTTTCCGTCGAGCCCGTCGGTGTTTTTGTTTTTTGTTTGTTTTTTTTCCCTCCACCGGGTCGGCGGCGAAAAAACGGCTGGGAGGATGTTTTGTTGGGAGTTTGTAGCCAACAAGGCTTTTTGAGTTTTAAAGGAACGCCCAAAAGGGAAAGCACCAAAAGATAGGGTTCCCAAATTCTGAGCAGAAAAAGAAAGGACAGCTCCAAATGGCTGCCCCCAATTTGCGGGAAACCAAGACGAGGTGGCGAAAAAGCAACTATGGCTCACAACAAATTGCTTTCATAAGCCAACCCAAGCAAATCAACTGAGCAGCGCATCCAAAATCCGTGACAATTAGCACCAACCTGGACACAAAGTGTTTGAGGGCCCGAGGATAGCTACCATGAAGCCAGGTAGAACCCTGAAATGGATTTGCGCTCTGACTTCCCCTTTAAGCAAGCCAAGAACAAAAGACCGCCTCCGGAGAAAAAAAAGAAGAAGAAAACCGCATGCACCAGGCACGGGATCGTTCAAGCGTTCTTGGGCGAATTCACCTCCTTCAAGCAGGCTCCAAAGCGGGATCGTCGCATAGCCCAATACAAGACGCAAAGTGCTCCCAATATGTGTATATATATGTGTATATATATATATATATATATATATATTTGTGTCCCCCATAAACACCGCCCCACTTGGGGGGGGCTCAACTGAAATTGCCCCAGGTGAGTCACTTGCTCAAAACCGATCGGTATTAAATGGTCGTAATCCCAGAACCACGTAAACAATTTAGAAGGCGGATATCCGCAGCTATTTATGGCTGGCACTGCCCCTTGGGAAGTGCATGGCCCATCGTCTTCGGTCCTACTCTTTCCAACCCTTGGTATGGTAGTAACGAATTTGCTTTTGCTGCCTCCTACTAAAAATGAACAGAATCAACAAACCTAACAACATGGCAACAACAGTGAAGTACAGTTCCACTAATGTCTCGCAGTTTGTCGTCATCTTTTCGGGTAGCCTTTTGCGGTATACTCTAGCAGTTCTACTCATCTTTGCGGTCATCTTTGCGGAGTTTAGCAGTACTCATTTCTAGCAATTTGTAGCTCAATTGCCCAAAGGACCTGGAACCAAAAGGTTAACCTTTTGGGACCATGACTAAATATGGACCAAAAGTGGACAACCAAAAGGTCAAAAGGTCGGCTTTGAACAACTGAGGTAATCATCTTTTCGGGTTCTGCAGTATCAGTATATGGAGGGCCGGACACGCCTCAGTTCCCCCAGCTTGAAGGTGACCTCTCGAGAACACCTTCACTTGATGTCGCTCTCGGTGTGGGAGATGTGTTGTTTCATTCATGTTGTATGCGTGTGTTTTTGCTTTATAGAGAGAGAGAGAGATGGATAAGATAAGATAAGATGAAATAAGATAGATAGATGGATAGGTAGAGAAGCAGGCAGCAGGCAGGCCAGCAGGCAGGCAGGCAGGCAGGCAGGCAGGCAGGCAGGCAGGCAGGCAGGCAGGCAGGCAGGCAGGCAGGCAGACAGACAAACAGACACAGACAAATAGTTAGATAGATAGATTAGATTAGATTAGATTAGATTAGATTAGATTAGATAGGATAGGATAGGATAGGATAGGATGGGATGGGATGGGATGGGATGGGATGGGATGGGATGGGATGGGATGGGATGGGATGGGATGGGATGGGATGGGATGGGATAGATAGAGAGAGAGAGAGAAAGAGAAAGATCATTTGCACATAAAGATATGGTGCATACATTTGTATGTGTGTAACACAGATGACGCGATCCGGATGGCTACGTGTCCTCCAGCCGCCAGAAGTCCTGCCAGAACAACGGTTTTGGACGAAGGACTGGGGTTTGGTTGCCAGACGAAAGGATCCAAAGGGGACGCGTGTTTTGTGTTTGCCATGTCAAGGCCATCCATTGAGAAGCTATCCATGTTGGGGAAAAGCTTCATGCATCGTGCCCTTTGCGTTTGCTTTTTCAAAAAAAAAATAAGAAAAAAAAAACATTGAGAAGGAGTGGTCCTTTCATTGCCATTCACTTGTTCTCCATTGAAAGGATGGGAAAGCATGAGGACACAATGGGGGATCCCCACATTCATAGAACCCTGGGATGATTTGAAGTCCCATTGAGGGGACCCTAGTTGGAAATTCCAGTGGGAAAGCAGGGCAGGGTTCACTTGGGCGCGTCTCAAAATAGAGGAACCCCCAAAATGGCAACGGTGTCCAAAGCTTTGGATTCCCCTGAAACCAACCGAAAAGGGCACCCACTCCAAAGAAGACACACCCACATCTATTTGTTCAACTTGTCGAAAACAGCTTGAAAGGATGGGCGGCCAAAAATCGGAAGAGGAAAACCACCGATCTGCAAACCTCCCTCAATTTGGGACACCCCCAAATAAAAGGGAACCCACTGATAACCTCTCAAAATTAGACCCCCCGCAGAGAAACAAAGAAGAGGTTTCCCTCAAAGGTCCGGGCAGCTGATGAGTATCTTGGAAAAAATTGGCAAACACTGTAACAACCCAAACAAAACCCTTTACAACCCCTTCAAAACACCTTTAAACCCCTTTAAACCTGCTGCGGAGGGACGAAATCCTGCACCACTTTGAAACCTTGGGGAATCTTATTTGAATCAGAAACCGTTGGGTTTCTGAATGGTGGTTCAAAAAAAAAGAGGTTCCCTTTTCATTCCCTCTTAACCAAACAGGGCCACAGCTCAGCACGCCATCTTGAGCCCCGAAGGCGCGCGAGCGCAACGGCGGGCGCGCTCGGCGCGAGCGGCAAGCCTTCTGCTGGTGCTCTAACTCGGAGAGGCGGGGCAGAAGGCCCCAGACGTTCACCAGCTTCTCCTGGCGCGAGTTGCGGGCGCGAGCCTTGCGCCCAAATGGTCCAGATGGGGTAAACAAACCACCAAAAATGAGGCCCCAAACCAACCAGTCTCTGGGAGTCAATGGCTGTTGTCAAAAATTGGCACGAATGGATTGCCCTGGAAATGGAAAGAAGGACTAAAACCTGGTCAAATTCCTTGTGGTTTAATTTTGACCCATACCCAAATAGAAATCCAATGCCTACCGTGCCTCCGCAACAATTGAAAGCCCGCCAAAGCAACAGCGGCGAACGTGTCACCCATTTCCGATCTTCTGCCGAGCCAACGCTCGATGTGTTTCAGCCAGACCGCTTCAAAAAGTCCAGTGTCTTTCAGGGCTTTCAATTGTTGCGGAAGTACGGTAGGCATTGGATTTCTATTTGGGCATGGGTCAAACTTGAGCCACAAGGAACTTGACCAGGTTTGAGTCCTTGTTTCCATTACCTGGAAATCCCCAGAAACTTTCACCAGCGCCTCACGAGCGCAACGCCCCCCCCCAGCGGTGCCTCCAGGATGGCCATCTGCTCCGTGCTTCGCTCCTGCGCTCGCAGTAGATGCGAGTTCCCGATCAAATACGTTTGAGATAGTTCACTTCGAAATGGTTGGAGTACCCTAGATGAGAGCTGTGGAAAGTTTCCAAAGGAGAGGAAACCCAATCTTTGTCCATGGATCCGGAAATTGTACTTGAAGGGGCAGGGTACATAGCAAGTGCTTGGGCCTGGTTCTAACCCACAAAAACAAATGACTTTAAGCCAAAGTGGGTTACGGCCAGGCTGACGAACCACTTACTAAGTACCCTGCTGCTGTAAGTAGGCTTACCCTCCCTCTATGGACCAAGGTCGTCTTTTCCATGCACTTGTCAGGCTCCATGTTCGTTGGGGTGGGCCTGGTGCCCTTCATAGCTTAAAGTTTCGACTTTGCCCCTCCCCCGAACACCTCCTTCACTGACTCAACGGTGGGATTTTTCGTCCAGCCCTTCCAAATGGGAAACCCTGAAAAAGAAAGGTGCCGTTTTGCTTGGGTCCCACCTTTTCTCAACCCGTTTCGTCTTGAGCGATATTCGTGACTTACAGACCAACGGAAGTCCCTTGGGTTAGAGACTCGTATCCAAACACACAGTTGCTCAGCAGGTTCATTTCATATCCACCCCCTCAACTGTTTCCAGTCTCTCGTTTCCTCAGTTCTCTATGTGGTGTGTCTTGTTTTTGCAGGGTACCCTTTTTGGAGTGGCTTTAGAGGGAAACCAACAGGAAAACCGAAAACCCCCATTTGGGGGTCCCTTAATAAATGGCCATGGGTCAAAATCCGAATCGTACCCCCAGTGAACATCCCAATCCCCACTAAAACAAAGCCTAAAATGGGTGGTGAACTCACCTACCAACCAAAATGGGACCCCAAAACGGTTTTGACAACCACTGCCAAATTTGGCAACCAACAGCAAAACCAAAAAACCCTAGAATGGTTTAAGGGTCCCCTTGAAAAAAATGGCGTTTCGGGGGGGAACGGGGGGGGAAGGGGGGGGGGAAGGGGGGCAGAAGGGGGGGGGGGGTCTGACCTCCCGCCGCGGGGAGTCGCCTGGCGAGTTGCGAGGGTCTCCACGTGCCGCTCCACCTGGCGCTCGATCTGCCGCAGGGCCGCGTCCTGGGGCGAGATGACGCTGGAACATGGGGGGAGGCAGCACACAAATCAGGCAGGATTGCATCGGCGCAGAAAGAAAGAAGGAAAACAGGTTGTTGTTGTTGTTGTTGTTGTTGTTGTTGTTGTTGTTGTTGTTGTTGTTGTTGTTGTTGTTGTTGTTGTTGTTGTTGTTGTTGTTGTTGTTGTTGTTGTTGTTGTTGTTGTTGTTGTTGTTGTTGTTGTTGTTGTTGTTGTTGTTGTTGTTGTTGTTGTTGTTGTTGTTGTTGTTGTTGTTGTTGTTGTTGTTGTTGTTGTTGTTGTTGTTGTTGTTGTTGTGCTGTTGCTGTTGCTGTTGCTGTTGCTGTTGCTGTTGCTGTTGCTGTTGCTGTTGCTGTTGCTGTGCTGTTGCTGTTGCTGTTGCTGTTGCTGTTGCTGTTGCTGTTGCTGTTGCTGTTGCTGTTGCTGTTGCTGTTGCTGTTGCTGTTGCTGTTGCTGTTGCTGTTGCTGTTGCTGTTGCTGTTGCTGTTGCTGTTGCGGTTGCTGTTGCTGTTGCGGTTGCTGTTGCTGTTGCTGTTGCTGTTGCTGTTGCTGTTGCTGTTGCTGGTGCT